ATGCTCTTTGCAGACACATTAAAGCACAAGAATTCTGACATGGACAGGTGATTTCTGTGAAAGCAGTGACAAAAATATGAAAATAAGGGTCTGAATGGACATACTGTCACAACTTTACGGGGAACATGATCAGAACATCTCTAGAATAATGTGCTTTCATTTTATATTTCATAAAATATTCATCTTCTTTCCCAGCTACATTGCGAGATCAATCTCAGCAGCACTGTTAGTTCATATGAAATGTAAAATGCAACTGATAATAGACATGAAAGAGAAAAGCCTTATTTCAGTCTAATCCAAGGGAAATGAAAATGCAAGTAACAAGGAAGAATTCAGAGGTTTGCTAATCTAAGATATTATCTTCTACGAGAGTTAAGTAAATATTTATATTTTAGCTGAGATAAATCACTTAATGCTAAATATTATAAAGGAAATTGAGATACTGGAAATTCGAATTCAGTGCAAGATGCAGGCTAATCAGCATTATCTGATGCTGCAATACCTAGTGCTATCCAACGAGGCTTACCAGTCAGTGTGGGGTAATTTAAGGTAGCCAAGCACACAACTAGTACCATGGTAATGAAGAAGCAGTCATTTCAAACACAAGCAGTTATCCAGCCACTTAATTTGATATTTTTAAAAATCCCAGCCACCCAGGCACTGTGTGCCATTAGGATTTCAACAGCAGTAATTCATGGGGTAAGCTGCACTCCTCCTCCCATTCATAGTAATAGATATTTGTGGGTTTTTTTTTGCTATCTTTCTACTGTCGGGCCAGATTTAAAGGATTATTTTCTGGGATGGTATTCTATGCAGTTTTGTTTCTGTCTACTTCTGTCTCGTTTTGTGGGTGTATACTGGTATGCAATTTACATCTGGATCTCTGTGGAAAGAGGCCATCATTTGTTTATTTTAATGGCTCTTACCAAATTTATTTTGACAGCTTCTCTCCCACAACTTAGTCCCTGGGGAGGTTGGTGACCTCCAACAAGTTTTCCTTATCTCACCTTAATTAACACTTCAGCAGCTAGCAAGAACAGCACAGGAAGTATGTAATACCAAGGCTTGATGAGAAAAGAGAGAAAGGAAACTGGAAAAGATCAATGCAGAGATGGTCAGGAGAAAACAAAATGTCTCCTGTAATCTTTCAAACTAATTGTAAACTATGCTATTTAGATGAAACCTTCCCTTTCACCTCTTCCTTTCTGAAGGTTGCACTTATTTTTCACATGGAATGGAGGCAATTTTCTTCACATATTCTTCACAGATTTGACCTCTGCGAGAGCTACTGATGCAATAGTAATAGGCTGTGTAATTCTAATCATATATATACATTAGAAAATTCAGAAGTCTACAATTAAACAAAAGTTTATTTTGAAGATCAGATGGCTAAACTATGGATTATTTTATTTAATCTTCTTTGGTTTTGTGGTAAAATAGAAAAAAAAGTGTCTTTTTCATCAAAACATTCAGAATTTGAAGGACTTAGGATAAAATGCTTTAGATAATTAGTTTAATGTTTTAGCATTCTGAAAAAATATTCTCAGAATCAGAAGCCAGAATTTGGAATGGATAGTATTATTCATAATAATATTTCAAAATCAGTCTCTTTAAAGACATGAGTAGCAGAAGATATTATCATAAAAAACTGTAACTTTTTGGTGAAATTTGTAACTGCAAAGGTTAGGACTGCAGTTTTTAATGGAAGAAAGAAAGGGACCCTATGAGCATTTAAAACTCCCAGCAAAAGGTAGCTAAACCAGCTAAGAGACTTCGAAGCTCTGCCAGTGGTAACATTACCTACTGCAATACTTTTAGGCAACTAAGAGAATAGACTTTTTTTTTTTTTTTTTCTTCCTGAATTTGGATTTAAACATCTGAATTCTGCCAGGTCGTAGATTAACATAAGCACTGTGGTGGGAGCTTGGCTGTAGTGTCCAGAAGCCTCACGTAAGAATACGGCTGCTGAGTAGCTGACACACTAAATAGAAAACAGTGAAAGAGAAACCAAATTAATCATGCCTACTTAAAAACATAAAAAATAAGAGACGGAAACATTCACATCCAGTCACAGAGGAAGTATGTGCCGAAGAAGGAAATTTCACATTTTCTCAGTTCTAGTCCAATGTTACAAATACACATACAAGATAAGGGAAATCCATTGCTGAATAAATAATAGTAAATAATATATATATGTATTTCCCCCTTTGGCACATGCAATATATCATTTTCCACTTGAGGAAATTCACTTATCTGAAAACGGGCCATACTCTAAACACAGATAGAATTCAGTTATTTTTTTACTGACTCCATAGTGTTAGAATAGGAAAGATAATTCAACAGCTACAAAATACATTTACCAAAGTCTCACACTTCAGCTTACTTATGGGATCAGCACAACTTTAATCCCAGAAGTATAGTGATTTACAGGCTTCTGTGTTTACAGGTTCAGATGCAAAAGGATAATAAAAGACATTTATGCTGTATTTGGTGAACGTGTTTCATTACGTGCCATTGTTACTTCTAATTATAGGAAATCTTTTGTGGTAGATACCCTCACATTCACACTCGGGACTGGTTCATGCTTTTCTAGGGTGAGATCCAAAGGAAGGGACTAACAAAAAGGTCTTGGCAAGTTCAACAGCTTTTTTTTCAGGCTCTTCAGGGGCCAGGCAGAAAATACGCAAGCTCACCCACTCTGCCACGTGCTGGACATTTGCTCTGCCAGTGACAAAGATAATCTTGTTTTACAGTTACCCGGCTACCGCTGTAAAAATGCAACTGTCATCTGAGTGTAGCTGCTACAAATGAACCCTATACAAGGTTTAATTTCCCCACAATACATTTCAAAATCAAGATGAAAACAAATTGCATTTCCATTAGTGCTTTATTACCCTAAGCCCTGAGAATATGAACGAGTGATGCTATAATAGCAAGATTTTATCCACATACAGTCAGCCCAAATCTTTAAAAACTTAAACTTATCTCTATTATAAAAGAATGCTGCAGAGAAATACTGTATTCCCTTAGTTGTCTCAGCAGCAGGACACTCCTGCTGGTATACAGAAAAGGAGATCGCTGCTGTAATCTCTGTCCCTCTCAACTCTAGATCCTAGTCAACTCTCAATCTCTCAATCCCAGTTCATGAGCCTTCGAATTCCCCTCCCATCTTTAGCTGTCCATCCTTACAGATATTTTATTTCACTTCTGCATGTTCTTCTTCTTCTTTTTTTTTTTTTTTAAAGCTAGTTTTGTCATAAAGAGCTTTGCATCAATTTCCAGGTCCACTCAACAAAACAGATGAAAAGATCTGCAGAATACAGACGTTTGTAAATTTATTTCTTCCCCTCAGCACATACCTTTTCTACTTGTACCTACATCTGAGTGCAAGGGGACATCAAACAAGTAATACTGGGAGAACACAAACTCAAAGATTCTGCTTTCCCACAGATTTATACTGAGGCTGATAATGAGTTGTAATTTAAACTTTTGTCATTATTGAAACATTTATATGGTCTCTCATCCATGTGAATTCTGCTTAATAAGAAGAAAGTTCATATTGCAGCCTTTGGGACATTTACAGGATCTCTCAGACCTAGCCAGCTGCCTATTTTCATGTAATAACTTAATTATATTTGAGATAGATTTGGTGGAAACTGCCCAACAGCTTCAAAAGTTATTGGAGAAATAAAGGAGACACAGCCAAGCATGATCGCATAAAGGACTGTTTCCATAGGAACCAAGACAGAAAACAGCGATACAGTTTGTGAAAAATTTCATTGCAGTCACTTTAATTGAAAATTTAAAAATATCTGATCAGCTTTACATCACATGCTGTAACACATGACATTTCTCCTACCTTCCCCCATCCTGTACCCAGCCAGTAGACCCTCTCTTACACTCTTCTCCTGTATCTTGCAGAAGCAAAAACTACATTTCTCAAAGTCAGGAGGTTGCTCTGCCTGTATCTGTCAATCTTCCCTTCAGATGGAAATTATTTTTTTCAGCAAGACAAGCTTCTCAGAAATACGTGCCAACTGCTACACTACACTGTTTGCACACATGTTAAGCATATGACAGAACACATTAAATGGAGAGTGCACAGGAGCAGTGGGTTGGACTGTCACCTGCTTCTGAGTGCTTAGACAGAGAGAAGCACTTGGGTTTGGAAATGCTGCTCTTCGGTAGCTCAGGTTATGTAGGATTTAGAGCCAAGCAGATGGCACCAAATGAGATCTGGTAGGTGACAGCAAGATGATTTTATGGAAAACACACCACTACCACCCGTCTCTTCATTGTGTCCTTACAACACCCATTGCCCACCAGCTGTGATACTGCTTCTGTCCCGTGGGTACAGTAACCAGCATTAAAAAGTATGCCCATGTACAACACAACTCAATAAACTGAAGTGTGAGACCTCACAGCAGGAAAGCATGGCAGGGTCTGTATACGTTCTTAATGCTAAGATCTAAATAACGGCTGCTTTGTTTTTCCTGCCACAACCTGAAGCCTGTCACTGGATTCTCCCTTGTCAGAAGCAGAACTCCCAACCAACCCCTCCACACATTCCACAGCATCCTTCTTCCTCGCGGATTTGAGCTGAAATGCATTACTCCATTTCCTGAACCGCTGCCCAGAGCTTCTCACTGCAGTGGCGTGAGCCACCAGCGCACCTCATCACCCTGCAGCTCTCCATCCTGGGCAGGCTGATGGGAACCACTCCCGTGCGGCCCCCGGCAGGCCGGGCCCGGGGAAGCCCTGTCGGAACGGACGGTGGCCGGGTCACCTCGGATGGGACCCGGGATCAGCGCAGCTCAGAGGGCTCGAGATGTGCCGGAGGCGGGGAGCAGCAGGAACGCCAGCCCGGCGAGAGGCCCGGCCGGCCGGCGCCGCGGGGCAATCGGCGGGCAGCTCAGCCCCCGACACCTCGGCCCCGGGCTCCCCCTGTCGGCCGGTGCCGCCTCGCGGGGTAGCGGGGCCGCCGGGCCGGGAGCACCGAGCCGCCCGCCCGCCCCCCGCCCGGCCGCTCTCCGCCTTCTGCCGGCCGTGCCAGGCAGCCTCTCTCTCGGCCTTCACTACCGGGTCAGGCGAGGAGGGAACGCCGAGGCAGCGCCCGCCTGACTCCGCCGCCGCCGCCACACTCCTCCTCCCCGCGGCCGTTCCCTCCCTTTTCCCCTCCCTCCTTCTCTCCCTCCCTCCCCGCTGCCAGTTTCTCTACAACTAGTACATCCACACGCAGGGTCCCGGCCGCCGTGGCTGCCATGGATATCAGCTAAAGCGCCGGCAGCCGCTCGGACCGGGCACAGAGGCTCTCCCCGTCCCCGCTCCGTCGCCCCGCGGGGCCGCGGCGCCCGCTCCCCTCGCCGGCCGCAGCCCAGCCTGCCCCGAGCGTGCCCCAGCGGAGCCCCGGGGGAGGGGGGCAGAGAGCGGGAGGAGAGAGCGGCAAGCAGCGCGGGAGTCGGGCAGAGCATCCCCACGGCAATGTCCAAGGGCTTGAAGAAGAAAAGCCACTGGACGAGCCGAGTCCACGAGATCGTGATCGTGCGGAACCCGGAGGGGCAGCTGGGCTTCGAGCTGAAGGGGGGCGCCGAGAACGGGCAGTTCCCGTACCTGGGCGAGGTGAAGCCCGGCAAGGTGGCCTATGAGGGCGGCAGCAAGTTGGTGCCGGAGGAGCTGCTGCTGGAGGTGAACGAGACCCCCGTGGCCGGGCTCACCATCAGGGATGTGCTGGCCGTGATCAAGCACTGCAAGGACCCCATCCGCCTCAAGTGCGTCAAGCAAGGTAAGGCGGCGGCCGGGGGGCCGGGCCGGGCCGGGGGGAGCGGGGGGCGGCGGCCGGGGGGGAGCAACTTTGTTGCGGCAGTTTGACTTTCCCCCACCCGCCGGCGGCGGCTGGGGGAGGAGAGCGGCGCTCCGCCGTGCCCGCAGCCGGGCGAATTAAATGTGCGTCAGTGACAGCGCTTCGCCATGCCGCTGCGAGGGGACGGGGGGGGGCGCGCCGCGGGGCCGGGCGCCGCTCCGAGGCTGCGGGCGCTGCCGTGGGGCCGGAGGAGCGGAGCGGAGCGGGGCTGCGCTGTGCTGCGGGGCGGCTGCCCGGGGACGGGGAGCGGGCGGCGGGGCGGCGGCCTGAGCGTGCCGCTGACGGAGGAGCGGTTCACCTGGAGCCCCGTGAGAACGGTCGCCTGATCCCGGGGAGAAGTGGGAGGGAGAGGCGGGGAGAAACTTTCTGGAAAGAACTCTTCCGCCTCTCCAGTTTGCGCTTATTTATTTCTGAGTGCTTGAATAGCTCTCGTACATTTCCAGGAAAGTCAGTAGGTGCAGCAGATGCTGTGTACGTGTTTGTTTCTGCCTCTTCCAACTCAGCCGAGTTGGGGTAGCTGCGAGTGAGCGCGTGCGGTGAAGCTGCTGCTGGCGCAGCCCCGCGCAGCGCAGCGCTGGAGCTCCGCTGGGAAAGCCGCGTGCCCTCGGACCGGCGCGCTGCGACGGCTCGGTGCGGCTCGGTGCGGCTCGGTGCGCGGCCCCCGAGCGCGCGGCTCAGCCGTGCACCGAGCTCGTCCCAAACTCGGGGGTTTCTGCAGTGGGAAGGGGTTTGATCTCATTCATCAGGGGTGTGCGTGCTCCATAGCGGCAGCCAGTAGCCTTTGCTTGAAGGACGTAAAGGTGCGTTGCTGGGACATATTTTTGCGGTTTAACTTCCTCATTTTGATGGAAAGTGTGTTGTTTGAAGTGGCATTGTGACACTTCTGAATGCTTGAAACGTATGCCAGTTATTAGTTTACCCGAACATGGGAAGATTCATAGAAAGTTTGACTGTCAGGCCTTCAGAATGCGCTTTAAGACATACTCGCTTGCCTACATGAGGTCAAATACCTTAATAAAGACATGCTCTGTGGTTTTTCTATTGGTCCTTTTGGGTAAGTAGTGAAGTACGTTGTAGATCATACGCTGATAGTCAGAAGATGCAAAGAGATACTACAGTTCATGTGATAAGTGGAGAGGACTGTAACGAATTCTGTCTTGGAGTGTGGTGTCATCTCTGGGCGCCTGAACTCCAGGAACCTGCTCTGTAGTTGCCTCTCTTCATCAATTTTAGCGTGAGAGGTCTTGCAGCATCTGGATTAAAAGAAGCAGCAGTGGAAGTGTCAAGAAGAAAGAGTATACTGTCTGCTAAACTATTTACGTTCTTTGCAGAAATGCTGTAGGTACTAATCTGCACTAATGCCAACTTCAGGTTACGATGGTGTAATGCAGCAGTCAGTCTCTGTCCCACCTCCTCACTATTCTTCAAATATTTCACTTCAAGTCAAAGCAATCCCAAGTGATTCACTAATATGTGTACCCTTAATACAGATGTCTGTCATACACGAATTAGGGACATTAGTCAGGCTTTTAGTCTGTGGATTACTGCAGGTTTCCTGAATGAGACTTGGAGAATGCATTCTAAATCCCACCTAGGTTATATATATGTGTAGTACAGTAGCATATATATACTTCATCAGGTTAACACACTGCACTTTTGATGTGAGTCCTCCAATACCAGCCAGATGACTGCATGTTTGGAAATGACAACTCTGCATAGATCTTTGGACTGACACTTCTTGATTCGAATGATCTTTCTTGTGCTCCAGCATCTTTTACTTTGCCAAAGGGAGAGGCCTTCTGGATCCAACTTCCTATGTTTAAAAAGAGGTCAATGTTTTGTGCATTTAATCACCTGATTCCTCCTTCAGCGTAATTCAGTCTAGTCGCTGCACTCCTTGGTTAAAAGCACAGACGGCAGACAGCCACGTTACTCACCAAGATAAAATCCCCAACAGTACTTTGCAGCAGTGTGTAGGAGAGAAAAAGCTGGGCAATGAAATCTTTATGTTTTTATAACTTTATTCTCGTTTTAGTTATAAAACACCTTTAGTGTGCTGGAACAAGGTTAATGACTCTATTATCATTGTTTCCGCATAATTTATCAATGATACCTCTGTAAATTAAGATAGTATGACCTTGAATGCACCATGTGACATGACTGGAGCTGCTTCTGCAGAGCTGTCTGAGTATGAAGTCACAGAGATAAACGTGGAGGTAGAGTGCTACTATTTATAATGGGCTACTTAGGAGACTTGTTTGAAAGTTTTGACTGAAATTTCACCTGTAGATGAAAGCAAGGTCTGACTAATTCAGTTTACAGATATTAATTTAGTGTAGGAAGTAGAGGAAAGAAAGGTACTCCCATAATTTTTTATTATGCTGTGTTTGATTATACACCACCACTTCTGAAATAATGCAGAGCTTCATCTTTTATTGCATTGAGGGGTGAAATACTTCTAAAATGAGTCCAGTGGAATGTTGCTGTTTTATGGGAGTTAAAAGCGTTAATTTAGAAAAAATAAACTTATGAGGTAGGAATTGCTGTGTATTGTGAGAAGGAGTAAACATCTTGAGAAACTAATTAGCAGTTCCGTGATGAAATCCTCCATAGTTCTCTTGTAAGTATGACACCCAATAAAAACCGTTTAACACAGGAAACCATTGCCTGGCTTTGCACTGGGAGGAAGCATTTCGGAACCATTATTGTTATCATTCAGAGCTAATTGTGAGAGTTCATAGAGAAACATTTCTTGGAGACTGTTTCCTTTTTATTGTTCTATTTATTCGTTGCAACCTCCTGATTGTGCTACTGTTGGCTAAATCAGAGATTCTCTTAAAACACATTGGGTGGAATCTTGGCTTTGATGAAGTCAGTGACAAAACTGTCCTAGACATCATATAAAGGAGACAGGATTTCCTCTGTAAAAGCCTATGTGTTTTTTAGGATATAGTCTTCCTGTGTCAGAATGTTGTACAGCAATCAAATTAGCCAGGTATATTTGCAAGTTTTATATGTTTTGAAGTTCTGCTTACTCTGGTGAAGAAAAGATCCTTACGCTATCTGAAAGAAATACTTACTTTCAATTGTGGTTGATCTGGGACATTTTAGATTAAATGCTTTCTTCCACAGATGCACAGATGCTTGGTTGTAAAAGTAATGTGTTAAGGAAAGGCATCCTAATTTGGATAAGTAATCACACTATGAATCCTATTAGGAGCAGCGCTGTCTCCAGTTCCACTCTCTGTTTAACACTGCTGTCTCAGATCCGTGGTACCTTTCTCCAGTAGTTCCCATCAGTAGGCACTGTGGGTCCGTGATGTGCACAGACTGCAACTCAGCTTTGTTTTTAGTTTGAAAGGTTGCAGGAACTGCCGTTTCACCAAGTTCTTATTCTTTGTAGAGAATTATAAACTTCTTAGCAGAATCCCAACAAATGGATTTCAGAACTTGGGAGTAATGCAGCAGATTTTGTCTTGTCACTGTTGTGTGACACACCTCTTCCTTAAGGACAGTGCTTTAAACGTAATGAGTAGCCAGGTGATCTAATTGAACAGTTTAATTTACTTCTAGAAGTAACTAGGGAGTTTTGTTGCCACATGGAATCAGTGGATTCAGTAACACTGATACTTTACATTGACACTTTTTATTGTGTCTTATTTGTCTCTAGATCAGCCAACTTTAAGCATCAACTGTAGCTCCTTAAGCAAAAAGGATTTAATACACAGTGCAGTAAGGGACTTGCCTTTATTAATAAATATTTACTTTTTAATTAGTTTGTCCGTGAATTTTGTAATTAAAACTGACTTTACAGTTAACTGTTATTTTCCTTAAGTCTCTGACATGCCTTTCAGAGAAGTGCAGTCATAGTTTCTTTTTTTTCCATAGTGATACCCTGGGTGTGTAAATAGCATGTCAGCTGGTTAAAATGTTAGTAAGTTCCTACAGATCTCTTCATACATATTTCTGTACATACTGTTATATTTTTAAGATGCTTATTTGGTCATTTAATTTCACCAGTAATTTTCTTCTCCATTCATTAAAGTATGATATGTGTGCAGATTGTCTTTTTTTTTTCTTCTCCTTGGATGTCAGTAAATGCTGTCTTCTAAGATGTGAACATTGTATATAACTTCCCTCCCTAATATAAGTAAGTAGTAAGCTGCATGATTTTCACAAATAAAAATCACAGGTGTCTTGCAGAGAACAAACACAAAGAACTATGAAAAACTGCATGGTTGCATTTCTGGTACAAAACACGGTGATATTCTTTGAGGAAAAAAAAAAAAAAAAAAAAAAAAGGTACTTCAGATGTACTCCTTTTTCCTACCTTTGATTCTTCAGGTTTAACTTACCCTAGAAATTAAATTGGGTTATTCTTTTACCATTACTTCATGCTGTTCTTATGTTTGCCCATCTATATTTAAAGACCATTCTAACTGGCTTCTGACTCATGTATCCTGTGATTTACTCTTCAGCTCCTCCCAAAAGATAGTGATGTTTCATGTCAGGAACTCTGTGTCCACTGGCAATAGAATTACATTCATCTGTCTTTTTTCTTCTTTGAGAATTACAAATGTGCCGTTAAAGGACAGGGGCAAGACTTTGTTATGGCATCATTTCCTTGAAGAAATGAAAGAATTAGAGTACTTTGATTAGTTTTATTGAGAAACTTATGCTTAAGTTCATCTCATACTCACACCTGTCTGTCTGTTGATACTCTTGACAAAAGTACCAGTGTGAGTAGGTAAAATTGTGTCTGCCTTACTTTATACTTGCTTTCAATTCACCTGCATTAATTCAACATTTGATGAAAGATATGGATTCTGAGCTTCTGTTTTCAGCGCTTATGATCTTTTCCTTGTTCCTTACAGATGAGGAGCTACTTTCATGACATGAAAAAGTTGATTAATTGTTCATCTACGTTTTTTATATATAAAAGTGTGTACATGGAAAAAGTGCTCCATCCAAAGGGATTTATATGAGGACGTGGCCTTAACTGTGATTTAGGAAGGATGATGGAGGTAGGATGCTGCACTAGTTGTGGAACCAGATGTTCTTCTGTTCCTCATAGCAATATAAACAAAGGGATTTTTGAAGGTTAGGTTCTGAGGAAAAAATGGTATACCTTGACTATAATAATATTCTGGAAAGTTTTTTTCTTCCATATATCTAACACAAATATATCAGTGTACAACATCTATGTTGTAGGTTGAGAGTGTGTAAGACATTGTGTAGTAATGTTTTTAGGAAGTAATTTTGTAATGATTATTATGGATTTCTGCACTGATTTAGGGGATTCTTCGTGTGTGTTTCAATGCATCTATGTAATGTACTTAAAATGAACTTCTCCCTTCTGGTGTCCAGTTGATGCACAGTATTATACACTATTTTGCAGTAGAAAATAAAGTCATCATGAACTTCGAAATATGATTGAATAGACAGATACCTACCTAAGCAGGTGCAGTCCGTAGTGTGCAGAGTTTGGAGGTATTGATTTCAGTAGCAAAATGACTCTCTTTCATTTTCATTGCTGAATGTCATTGCAATGCTGGCCTTAACTGAATTTTCTAAAATAACCAGGGCTGTGAGCCCAAGTCATCTTCTGATCTCTGGAATGCACAAAATGACTCTGTTGGTTAACAGTATTTCTTCTGCTCTCCTTATTTGTTTCAAGTTAGCTTTCTTTCAACCTCATGGAAATTTACCAGTAAGAAGAGAGAGTTCTTTCTCTCTGGCCATTTGTGTTACTTTCCCAGTTTAAGTTGAGGCTACCACAGTGGAAAGTGAAATGGCAGAGAACAGCAAAGGAAAAGGAAGAGTGTGAAGGGCTTTAACAAAAAAGAACTCAATCTAACATTCTGAAGTGAACAGAATTTTTCATTAGTAATAGATAATCTCTAACACAGATTTTTCTTACTGTTTTAATGCTCTTAAATTGTTAGCCTAAGGTTGCATTTATTCAAACTTTCTATCCGTAATATGGACTCCTTACTAGATGCTTAGTTGACAGAAGGCTGTTGCTTGTATATATCTGCCATGTATTTACCCTTTTTACAGTGTGTAAATCACAAATGCATTAATTCTGCATTCTCAGTCAGTAAATGCAGATTGCTTGGATGCAGGCAGATTCATCAAAAGGTATGTTGTGGTCATCATGACTCTTCAGTTGTCTTCTCATTTATATATATTATTACTATTAATATCTGTGTAATGCTGTTTCATTTCGCCTATCAACTTCAGATGTTTCTCCTGGAGGTCTTGGATTAGTTCCACAACACATGACCTCAATAGAGAGGGAAATAAGACAAGGTACAAGATGGATGAGGTAAAAGGTAAGAGAAAAAGGTTTCAGGAAAAAAAGTCAAGAGATCATTTAATAAAATTATTACTGTTTTTAGAAGCCACATTTTCTGTCTTATTCAAGAGAGACATTACAGCCTGGGGAAATTCTCCAATACTGGGAAGTCAGTGCTGGGACTGTATTTCCTTGGTCTGCCTTTGTTCCTCAAAATATGTTGAAATCTTAAGTTAGGCTAAAGCTGGCCCTTCAAAATTTCTGCAGTTGACTCATTCCAATGAATAGTTATTATTCTTTCTTGTGTACCTGAAATTATAAGTTATTCTTAATAACTAAAACTAAAGTTTTCTCTGAAGTGGGGTGAAACAATGGTTTGCCTCAAGAAACTGTGAAGAAAAACACATTTGAAAGGAATTCTCAAGATGACTTTCATATATATGTGTGTAGCATAGAATCATAGAACAGCCCAGGCTGGAAGGGACCTCAAAAGATCAGAGCCAACCTTTCATTGGAAAAGGAAGTCTGGGTCCCATTTCAGGAGATCTTTTTCCCATATAAGATCTTTTTGTTTGTTTATTTGTTTGTTTACTTTATTATACATTGAGATAAACTGCATCAAATATTTTCTAATGTTTTACTTTCACATGGATAGTTCCTCAACTAGTACTAAATAAAATGGCTGCATTAGTTTCTCTTATTTTCTTACTAAGTCCTTTGTGCTTAATCAGCATAAACAAATGTTATGTAAATCTCTTATGCTTCCAAAATGGTGCATTAGTATAAACAAGGATTAGACTCATTTTTTTAATTCTGCATTCTGTTTTTATCAGAGCAATTTTTTTATGCTTCAGAGTACTGCAGAGGCCTGTTGCAGTTGGGTGCCTGTATGCTCCCAGCACTTGAGTGCAATCCTTGCAGAATGGGAAAGGCAGCAGCTGTTGAACTCTTGTAGTAGATTGGGGCAGGAGATGAATACCTCTTCAGTTTATCATGTGCTTTGGTTAGGTTAAGTGTAATTATCTCCAAAATTTAGGGCAGAACTATGCTGCAAAACTTGCCTTAAAACTCAGTTCTGCCAGGATGCGAACAATGCACTTGACAGAATTAGGTGGGATGCTGTTTATTATGTTGACAATGATTGTTTTACTTTTATTTCTGATTTTCTTTCAGTGTGGGTTTGTTATATGACTGTTCATTTCTAAAAAGTCTGAAACCTTTTGGTGAGAAGAACTGCCTTCTAGCATGACAATTTCAAGTTGGGAGTCTCTTGTTTCTATGACAATGTAAGTTTTTATATTAAATGTATAGTTAGCCATAATTACTTTCTTAACAGTAGTTATTGGACACATTCTGTGTCATTTTAACATAGGGTCTGTAGTTCTATTTGTCAGTGTTTCAGTCTTAGTAAGAGAAACTCTAAATTAGATTGAACTAAGCAAAAGAATTAAGAGAAAATACACATTTTTAACTAATGTGAGGCTTCTGCTACTGGTAGCACATGTCTGTTGTCTCAGTCTTTCTGTTACAGCCTCTGGTAGAGAAGGCTGTTTGAAAAACCCTAGCTATGCTGGATATAGGGAATATATTTCCTGAACAATCTAGTTCTTTTTATCTGCTCCATTTACTTTGCAGGAACATTTCCCTCCCCATAAACTTCGAGAAGAATTACTGGAATTTCTGATAAGCCAATAAGAAGTGCTTTTTCAACACTCATTCTGTTTGGTCATTTTCCAGTGAAAACAGCATAAAAGACTTCAGGAAAAGAATGCAGTACAGTGCTGGAGGTTTTGTTAGGAAAAAGAAAGTAAAATCAGGGTTTTGGGTTTTGTTAATTAAAATTAAAAATCAGTAATTCAAATACCAATTAAAAGGTCTTCTGGTTTCATACTTCTACTGAGTTTTTATGTTATGCTTATGGTACTTATTTACTAAAGTACTCTTCAGAACAGATGAATCCATAAAATTTAAAAATGTCTCCTGTAAGTATGTGTGAAATATCGCAGAGGTTTTGTGTACAGTTAATCTGACTTGAAGAAGTGTAACATCTGCTTTGCCTCAGTAGAGATTGATATTAGTGTATTTGTTTGAAGAGTAATAAAATTAATGATTCTGAATGTAAAAGTGGGAGAAACAAAAGTGTTTGTTCTCTTAGGAAACACAGCAGATCCAGTTGGGTCAATATTAAGTAGATTACTAGTGAGGAATAAGCAAGTTTCTCATCAGTAGCTGTAGGAACTGGCTTCAGTGAGCTGCAGAATTCCACCCTTTGTTTGTGTGTATTGAGGAGACTGGTAAAGTGATTTGCAGCTCAGACATTAAAACAGAAGTCTTCACATATATCTCTCTAGACACTAATATTATACTTGTTATTAAACCATCTGAATAGCTTCCAGATTCTAAAAATCTTTTACAAAAAGAGCTTATTCAGATGTCTGTCCCAGCCAGCCTCAGTGAATTTCAGTGCGGGGACAAAAGTAGGGACTACATAAAACTTGCTTGCATCTTAGGCTTCCTGATACAGGTTACTAGATATTGCTCTTGAAAACTCTAAGGATATTGCTGGTTCTTGCAATGGTAGTGATTATTACATCATGTGTGCTTTGTTTTTGTGGGTTTTATTTTAAGTCTGTCTAGCTTTTCAGAAAGGATCTGTCTAAAAATGTATGGTTTACCAATAGAATTGGCATTATATTTTTTCAATGCAATTGGAAATTTAAGTAATTTATCCTGAACAAAACTTTATCACTGAAAGCATTAATGGTATTAGTGTGCCAGGACAGAAATCAGATCTCACAGAGACAGGTACTGCAAGCGAAACAGTCACTGCTGTTATGAGTTGATAGAAGCTGATGGGACACAGTGGGTTGATGGGAAGGGATAGTGAAATGGCTTGCCAGAGATCTCAGATCTATCAAGAGCACAAAGAAGAATCCTGCAGTGTAAGTTAAAAGTCTATGCAAACAGCACTGCAACCAAGTAAGGATGTGAAACCGAAACATTGTGTAAGGCAAAGCAACCTGTCCTCTTAGAGTTTCTGTTGATCGCTCGAGTAAAATATTTTTGTAGGTCTTTACATTAAAAAGAACTGGCCCTACATTGAAGCCCTGCACATCCTCCTCTTTCAGTGCTCCAGGCCCGTGCTGTGTTAAAGGTTATTAGTGAGGGATCAGAGTAGGATTTTACCATTTACAAACATCTCAACTTAGCTCTTGCGGAATCCACCCTCTTTTTCAGGAGAAAGCAGTTGCATAACATTAATGATTGCATCCAGCTGAGATTCTGCAGTGTGGGTTTTTTTTTTTTTTTTTTTTTTAAATTTCCTTTTATGTCCAACAGTACTTCTAGGTTCTTTAACCAAAACTGGCACAATCCAGTGTAGTATGCTGTCAACATGTATAATGATGAAAAGGTTTACGTCTCCTTTTGGCAACTACATAGCAGTACTGCTGACTGTATAGCACCTTTCAGTGGTGCTATTAAGTAGTTAGTGTGTTGGGAGTTTGATCGTGATGTTGATTGTGCGCATGCTATTGCCCAACATTTGCTTTATTAATTCATTGAGTGTTTTTACAGGTATACTCATTCGTAGGACAAAGAAACAATGGAAACCTTGAAAATCTGATGTATCTGGCCTGATAAAGGATGGCTTATTTGCAGTACAAAGCAATAACACACAACTATTTAGTACTGAAGATATATAACATTCTGTGTGGTCAGTATCACTATGGAATACATATGATAAGGTGTTGTTTGGCCTAGGTAACTAAGTTAATAATTCATAGTCCTAAAAGAAAAAAAAAACCACAACTGCATTATCAGAGGTCTGAACAGCACTTGACAAAACAGCACTGGGATCATTCTCCAAAAGACCATCATCTGTTCTTCACTGTCCTTAATTCAGCATGCACTTGGACTGTGCATACATTCCAAGCATACTTGTGACAGCAGGTGAACATACAGTGTTTGAAGGGTGCTAAGGACATCCTGTACTGGAGAACACTGAGCTTTTTTTTGCTTCATTGTGTGTGTGTGTGTATGTGTTTGTGTGTCCCACTGCCATCAGCTGGATAGAGCAGCCAAATGGGCAGGCTCTTAATCCGATTTTGAGTCCATCCTGCAGAGTAAGTCTGTATAGTAATCTCCAGTGCCCTTTGGTGTAGGACTACACCTAGTAGGAATTCTTCCACTAATATCTGAAATATTTCCATCTTTCTCCTTTTTTTATTTTTCTCTCTCCCAACAGAAAATAGAACCAAGTGACAAATTTTGAAGTCTGTATTTTCTGATGTTTCTTTCTGAGTTTAGTTATATATGTCTAAGTTGAGAGCAAGTGCTCTCTGCCACATTGCTAGACATGGGTTATACAGAGTAAAGAGCCATCTACTCAGACACCAACTAGTAGCAGCTTTTAAGTTCCTCTTTGGAAGACTTCCTATCAAGAGCTGACCACATCTCATCCTGTTTATCTTCCGAGATCTGATGGATCACAGAACCAATGTGGCATTGCTCAGAGTCAAAAGTTTATGCACATGTTTATTCATATTTTGCTAGAAAACAGTGTTGTGTCACTGCTGAGAGGCAATTTTTGATCAAATCCAGGAACAGCTGAACAGCCTAGCCTCTGTGTATCTATATGCCATTTTTGTTTTTGCTTTGTCTGGCAGCTACCAGTACTTCTGTCTCTTCAAAACACCCTGCAGTTAGGAGAGGTGGACTTGCAATGCATGATTTGCATAAGAGCTTTTCAGAATGGCAACTGAATAAAGAGGGGAAAAAAAAAACCCTCTAAAAACAAACAAAAAAACCCACCAAGATATTTCACTGAAGTCTCCAAGACAAAAATTTGTCCTTGTATTTTATATTATTTTTATGTCTTTCTGTTATGAAGAGTGTATTTGTTGAATTTGTGTAATTATTTTCTAGATCAAGTGGATTCATTTTATTACAAAGTGTAGATGCCTTAGCAATGATTGGATTTTTAAAAAACTCCTGAAATCTCCCCTGCTGCTCTAACCTGCACACTGCAAGGGCTGTTTGACTTCCATGAGTGTTTTGCATTTTATATGAAACTTACCTTTGAAAATAAAAGAGACCTTATGTAAGATATAAAGATTTCTACATTTGGAAAATAAAAAAAAATCAATTTGACTAACACTATTATCGATCACATAACTTTAGGATTTGACTTTCAGGGGCTAGAAACTCTGCAATTTTCCCGGAGAGCATAAATTGCAGGTGTTCTCTGGCTTTCAGGATGAGATGCACATAAAGTAATTCCTTAAAATGTGTGAGCCAAATGGAGCTGCCCATGCTGAGCTGCACAGTGCCTGGCTCAGCTGGAAGTGGCTGCCAGCATCAGAAATGCTCCATGCGCCTGCTGAAGGCTGCTCCTGGCCCCAGTAAGAGCAGTCTGTTTCCAGTGCCATCCGAACATAATGTGATAGCTGCTGACTGCTCCATCCCAGGGACAGTCGTAACTACTTCCACCTGGGTTTTTTATTAGTCAGTTTGAAGATCTTCTTTTGTTCATTTGATTTTGAAAAAGAAGTTTGTCTGTTAACAATCAGCTGGGCATCATGTTTGCTTGCAAAGCACCTGCAACAACACATAATTTCTGCTTTGCTTATGTCAAACAAGACAGCCAAGAATTTCATGTCTGTGCTGATTTATGCTCTACTGGCTGGAATTACATTGGAAGTGCATTAATTTTATGTGTCCTGCTGAGGTTTGCTTTATTTTCACGTGCCAATATCAACTACTCAGGAAAATTTTGTATAAGTATTATCAAGTTCGCAATGTAGTGTGGAATATCTTGTGTTTCCTTTGGAGGAGCATTGCCAATTGACTGTAGAGCTATGTTCTAAAGGTTTACAATGCAGTTTTGCCTATGGAAGCTGTACACATACACTGCCCATGATTTGTCTTTCTTAGAACTGTTTAAGAAACAAGGGAATTTAGTATGTTCTTGTTTTTCAGAAACATTTGTGAAGTTTTTCTGTGATGCTTGTTACAAAGAACAATCTGACTAGTGAAGAATTGTGAGGAAAGAGGCAGAAAAGAATTAGGAGTGGACGACTGTGCTGAGTAGTTCCATCCAGTTGCCTAACAGACTAACTTTGTCAGTCTGTAGTACTGGTACTTCTGCACGAGAATTTCCATTGCAGCTACATCTTGTGAGATTACATATCCTAGCATAGGACACTCTGGTTGTTTTCAATAAAGGCAGATAGCCTATAATGGGAGAGGTGGTGCAATGATCAGATTTTCTGATGACCCCTCAGTTTTCCCCTGTTGCTCTAACCTCCATACTGCAAGGGCTTCCTAAATGTTTTGCATTTTATGTGAAGCATATCTTTGAAACTAGGAGAGACTTTATGAAAGTTTTGCTGGGAGCTGGAGATGTTCTGCCTTCAGAGCCCTGGCACAAATGCAGAAGGACTGTTACTGGCCACAGCTCCACCTTAGGAAATGGAAGAGGACCAGAGCTGGTGCCCTTACCCTGACTGCAGGAGAAGAAAGTATGAGCTGTTCATCCTCTTGGAGAAAGGAGTGAGTTTGCTCCCTTCACAGAGATGATCCCATTCCCTTGTGCTCATGGAAGTCATGAGTGAAAGAAAAGTTATGTATGTCCTTAGCTCTTGCTGCACAGTCTCCACAGAGGAACTGTGCTCTGCTCTCCTCTTCTCCCTTCTTTCCTCCAACATCCCTTCCAGTTAGATTGGCACCTAAGGAGGGAGACTGCCTGGGCTTCCTGCAGAGTATAGCAAAAAGTTGCTGTTCTGAGCTGGCTCTGTCACACATAACCCCTGCTGCTGGAGCCCAGCACTATCTGTGACTTAGCACTGAGTCAGCAGGCTTTCTGACCCAAAGCGCTTACTCACTAATTAGTTCTTTGCTTTACCTCTTCCTTCTCCAGCCAAGCTGCCTGTCCCACAGGCGATGCAAATGGGGCAGAAGCCGGTGCTCTTGGCAGGCTCCTCAGTGGTGCCTCACAAGCCAGAAGTGATGCGTGGATGTTAGTTGGAAAGTCTCAGCAGCTTGTTAAAGCTGTTTGTTATCCTTCATCATGGAAATAAATGCACTTGGTTTAATAAGTTTTTATATACCTCTCTTTTTTTTTTTGTCAATCTGTATTACAAAAAACTTTGGAGAAATTGTAAACTTAATACATAAGTAGCTAAGTTAAGATAATATTAAGGATTTCTGAATTAAAAAAAAAAAAAAAGTCTTTAATCCAAATGTATTTAATGTGTTTAGCATGTTAAATATATAAAATGTCATCTTTTCGTGGTTGTTGTCTTATTTAGAGCATGCCTTCTTCATTACATTAGCACAGGAGGTTCAGTTTTCCTTTACTGTGTCAGAACAGACCTTAAGCAACTCCCCTGATCCATGGGTTGGGTCCTTACTTGTATGTTGGAGTACATTCAACATTGATCAGGAAAATTTTCTCTTGTATCACAGTATTCATTCCTGTGGTTTGAATGTATTTGCATAGATAATCTTACAGTGTTTCAAAGACACTTGAGCACTTCGGTGTTGTCGTGCCTCTTCCTTGTATATTTAAATATGTTTTGTTCTGTAGCCCAAATAACAGAATCCCCAATATATAAAGTTGTTGCTATATGTGGTGTTTAGTGGACATAGAAAAAAGCCTCAATATTTATCAGTATTGAGTCTTGTGGTGACTTCAGTATTTCAGTGTGAACGGAGGAAGAGTTGGAGATAGGCTGCATAAATACATCTTAGCAATTAAGACAGACCAGTATGCCACTTTTTAAAAGCTCACTTATATAGAGTTATTTATATACAGCAGTACATGTAAAGAGATCTGTATATTATGGTGATGACAAATGAACAGAGATATATGATACATCTTATTTGATAGAGCAGTGAGATGTGTCAGTGATAACATCACTGTCTTTAGTCATCACCTGTTCTTAACTGGAAAATCTACACATAGTTTCTGTATTTTCCATGGGATGTTTGAAAATGTGCAGTGATGTAGATTTTAAGATATTTGACTAGATAAAGCAGTGGGCAGGCACTCAGGTGATCAGTGTCTGGTTCTCTAGAAACCTGAAATAAATCTCAGTCTCTCTGCTGTAATTCCCCACTGATAATAAAATCCTTGGTGATAATAAAATCATACAGAGTATTAAACTAATAATATGTCTGTTCCTCAGAAAGATGATCTGAGCGCAAATCCATTAAAAACAGTGCATTTGTCTTTGGTAGTAATAAGGATCATATACTAATATGACTTAGAACAATATAATTGTTAATTATACAGTATTGGCCTGATCCTTGAAAAG